GAGAGAGAGCGCACTTCTGTTGTGTGATCTTTATTGATGTTCGCTTAGCACACATCATTTGGATTAAAACTAAATAGTAAATATAAGAAAATTTATAGGGGCATTCACTATAAACGTCATTTATTTTCACTCTTAAGCATACATGGATTTCTGGCGAAAGTGAAACTAACAGCCTGTGTGAAATGCGCTAGGCTGTACTGTACTTGTCCCTCTCATTCTGCACCAGTACAAATATGTGTGCGTGTTGTGCGTGTTTTGCTTGCTTCATGAGTGTTTCTGCATTATATGAGTGGCTTTGGAAAATACGTCGCTGCACATTTCAGATGAAAAAAAAACGCGACTTCTATTTATGAAAATTTATAGCAAATAACCGAAGGATATAGTCAAACCAAAAATTATTCAGAGACCAGATATCATTTTTGATATTTTTTTACTAGTGGGCGTAGGACACTATATTTCATTTATGTAAGTGAGTATAGCAAAATAAACTAAACTGTGATATATTATGCCCAAAAATTCTTCATACAGTGGACTACCAGTAAAATTGATACAAATTTGGGACCAATAATTATTCAGACAGAGTCTGGGAAAAAATGTAAGTTCGGGTTTGCATGAACCTGGTTGACATTATGCCCAGGAGACTACAGGCTGTCATTAAGGCTAAGGGTCACCCGACAAAGTATTGGTAGTTGTGTAAATATTGACAGCTATATGAATAATTTTTGGTTTATTGTAATCCATTACATACCTTTCTATCAAAGTTATCTGACATTATCAAGCTGAATTTGTTCTGACACAGTTTAACTCTGAGTTCTTGTCATATTTTATTACCATTTTCTAAACTATAGTGAATAAACTGTGATAATGTGAGAAATGTTGAAGGTGTCTGAATACATTTTGGTTTGACTTTATCTATTTGATAAATGAAGTTAACCAACTAACATTATACATACTCTTTTGGTTTCTGTACCCAATATTGAAAAAATTTACAAATGCAATGAAAATATTGGTCTCGGTATCGGCAAGTACCAAAAATAAAAGTATCGGTATCGGGCGAGTACTGGAAAAAGTGGTATCGGTGCATCCCTAGTTTTTATTGATTAGTTGTTGGAGCCTGACTTTTGTTGGGAAAAAATGTATGTTAGGGCTGTGAATCTTTGGGTAGACAGCGAATCGATTCGATTCACGATTCATAGGATTTCAATTCGATTCAAGAATGATTTTTGTAAATTCGGAACAATTCGATTCACGATTCGATTAACGTTTCGATTCTGCATTCTTTAAGTGCATTCACAGGATTATGTAAATGCTTC